TTGGATTTCTTGAGGAGTGAGATAATGGAGAAAGTGATCAAAGAAGTGATTCCCGCCAAATACCTCAACGCAAACACCGTGTATCACATCAACCCGTGCGGGAAGTTCGTGTTGGGCGGACCCGCCTGCGATGCCGGCCTCACGGGCCGTAAGATCATTGTCGACACATACGGCGGTTGGGGCGCACACGGAGGCGGCGCCTTCTCTGGCAAAGACTCGACTAAAGTTGACAGATCTGCGGCTTATGCCGCGCGATGGGTCGCCAAGTCGTTGGTGGCGTCCGGTCTCTGCAAACGATGCCTCGTTCAGGTGCGACACCTCTGACACCGGTTTTACTTTAGGATTCATTTATTTAAACAACTGTTTGCTATGAATATGACAACAGGTTTCGTACGCCATTGGGATCGCAGAGCCGCTGTCTATAACAGTCTTCACTTACGGGACATCGAAGAAGACGCAGAAAGAATTGGTTCTTATAATCAAAAACAACTTCGATCTCAGGCCCGGCATTATCATCAGGTTTGCCATCGATTTGTAGTTGAAAATGAATTTAATGCTTATATTAACGATAATTGTTTTACTAAACAGGGATTTGGACCTAAAAAAGCCTATTTTCGAGAAGACTAGTATTTACGGGCACTTCGGGCGCGAGAACTTCCCGTGGGAGGTGCCCAAGGAGTTGGTCTTTTGATTCTTAAGTCCACCTTTACATCGATTAATATTAACATTATCTCCTTTATCTGACATTTTTATATTTAATTCAAACTTAATCCAATTAATGATGAATTTTGACTTATTTTGTAGTTTTTTGACAACTTATCGCAATATTCTATATTATTATTTAATTTTTTTTATTGAGTTTAACTCTAAAATAATATTAAATTTACCTAGTATACAGTACAATTAAATTTATATTTTAAAAACAATTTTACAGGCAATTTGTTTTTGTTTTGATATTTAAACAATAAAGATTTGATTATACAACATTCAATGTTTATTTCATCATTTAGTACTAAATTTGTTTTTAAATATGGTAATTAAATATTCAAACTTTTACACTTATTCATGTATTCAAGATCACATTAACATCAGTTTAACATTCAGTTGCATGGAGTCAGTATAATATTTAATATTATACTATTACCGGTATACATACAATGCATGGGAAATATTTGATGAAATTTGAATATTACAGCAATTAAATTTTCAAAGATATTCATGTATATTCCTATAAATGTATTACCTGTATATCAAATAATTTATTATTTTTGATTGCAAATTACAAATGAGTTCCAAATAAGTACAGAATAAGTATAGAATATGTAAACAAAAGGTGCACTTATTTTGTACTCATTTGCATAGCTTAGAGACAGAATAATATTATTATTTACTAACTTATTATCTGTATTATAGTCAGGGTTAATTTAGATAGGTAATGAATGCATATTTAATGTCATTGACAACAGAAGTTTTCAAGGATTTAACATAAAGTTTGTGGTAAATGTAGAAAATAATAATTTATTTTTATTGAATTAATTAATTATTACGTTTGCCTCACATGACTTTAATTTGGGATTGAAATATTATACTATATTTTGGAAATTAAAATATTTATTGCCACTAAATTATTTTCTGTTCAATAAAGTTAACTAATTTTACTCAAAATGTCCTTAAGTTTGAACGCAACTGAAAAATCTTTTAAATATTTGGCAATAAATTAATACGAAATATAATTGTCTGGAGTTGTGAGAAAAATATGTATAACTAATATGAATTTGAATGGTGTGTCTGGTCTTTGTTAATCTGGTGGCGTCAGTCCTACACCTTTTTTGTCATATCCGTCCCATTAGTGGAATGGGTATTAAAAAACATAATGCGAAAGGTATCGCCAGGTATTGCCCACTACTGGTTATATCCCACTGAGACTAACTTGTATTCATACAAATCATTGCCGTTTTTCTCTTTAAGCTTACAGACGGACGACTAAAAAAGCATTTATTTTCGCAGCTTTTAGTTTAGTGAACCAAAACTATTATGAAAGAAATGCATTTAATTTTCATTTCAATGCCCAAACATAACTAATATTAAGACTTTATTTCTAAGAACTGTCCCATAAATTAGAAATTATTGAATACCTTATGGGAGTTTTGTATGAAATGTGCACTTTTTCTAATAAATATTTTTTATATAGGTTCTTGGAGTAATTAATTCTGTTGGATTCTTTGTAATACATTATAACTATTTATAAAAATAAATTAAAATCTATAGAATTTCTACAATA